TCAGCCAAAGGTTGAGTTGAAATCAGATTATGGAATGTGCCAGCAAGGATTACAACAACATCTGTGTCCGCAGTTCGCACAAGGATAGTCTTTCCCCAGTGTTTCAGAGAATGTAGCACATGAACCACAACTCTGGTGTCTTGTGATTACAGTTTTGCATGGGGATGCCAGTACCAATGGATGCCACAGATTTCCCGGATGTGACATATACAGCTTTGGCTGGCGGCATGTTGAAATCTTCAATCTTGAAAGTCAAAAGCAAACAGGTCTTTCTTGCCGAGTGGGTCACAGAGAAAGTCCATCCAATTGCCTGGTAGTTCGGTCTCACCCGATATTTTCCTGCGCGCACCCTTGCCTCTCTTTTCCCGGGGAGATTCTTTCAAGCTATCTGGAATGTATGTGTCCCACACAACATCCAACCTCGTGGCGTCCTGAAGCTGCTTCTCCAGGTATGTGATGAATTCCCGGTCTGCATACTCATGGAAGGAGCTGACGCTTGTAGTGGGCAGACAGTGTACGATGACGGAACCATCCAGGACTTTGCAGTCATAGGTTGAAGGTGGCTCTGATTGACCAGGTTGCTCAAGACATTTCAGCAGGTCCGACTTCGTGCTGGGCAAATGAAGCTTGTTAAAGTCCGAGAGGGAAGGAGGGAAGGACTGTATCTCATGTGCAAAGAACTCTGCCAAGTCACCATTCCGGTTCTACATACATGAAGATATGTACAGCTGGCCGAAGAGTGCCACGTTCTTTTGAAGCACTTTGATCTTCTTCCCCTGCTTAGATATTACCTTCTGTTTAGGTTAACTGAATAGTGCTAGAGAATTTCTCTTGATTGGGTCATGGATGGAGTGGCTGCGAACATCAAGCACATTCCTGACAAAGTTCTTGTACTGTTTCCTGCCTGTACCCTCCAATGTGTGCAATGCGGCTACCACTGATTCATCCACGCAGTTGCGACTGTCAAGAGTTACTAGATCTGAGAAATCATCCAAGAAGGGATTGCCCATTCGTCTGATGGTATCGGAGAGGCTGACAACCTGTCGCTGGAAGGTCTTCTGTGTTGAGAGACCCTGCTCATGATGCTGGAAGTTCTCCCGGATCTCTGTGTCATCATCAAAAAGGTATTATTCTTCGAATTGCTTTAGCAGCCTGGACATCTCTTGTCCCGAAAGCATCCATCGACGAAAAGCCACAGGGTTTTCTGTGAGCCCAACAGCTCTACCAGAACCTTTCACAATCTTGTTTTCCTGCTCATAAGCTTGATCAAATGGGATTGCAGAGAAAGTGTAACTTGTCTTGGAAAGGACCCAATGAAAAAAAATTCTCAAACTTATCCTTGATAGTGTCGGGTAGGGACTTCATATCTCTGATGTGGACTGGCATCCACCGTGAGTAGTTTACATAATCCAAGGCAAAGAACGGTGGTGTGAGTTCCTCCAAGACTTCAACGTGGGGCCTCCGAAAAAACGCCCCGACCCTCTTCACACTTATGTGATTGTTTTGCCGGGGCTCCTTCCTTAATTTCATTCAGTAGGTCCTAAGAGAGCTCTGTACCAATATAACCACAAACCGATGTGATATTTCATGATATCTAACACGGGGGATCTGGTACGACACCCCCGCCCCAAATCACACCTATATAAATGTTTTGTTGGGGGCTCCAACCCTAACATCGTTCAGGAGGTCCTAAAAGGCTCTGTACCAGAAATTGCATTTGTGCACGAAAAAAAAAATCAATGTTATTTTACCTTATATATTATTTGGGGGCTCCAGGATGACGCCCCCGCCCCACACCCTTATATGAAATTGTTGCCAGGGGGCACTATCTTGCAGTAGGTTCTAAGGACGCACTCTACAAAAGCAGGCTGTCGTATAACCACAAAGTCAAACCAATGGGATCTTACATGATATATGATATGGGGGCTCCGGTACGACGCCCCCGCCCCCAAATCACCCCTATATACATTTTTTGTTGGGGGCTCCAACCTTAACATCGTTCAGAAGGTCCTAAAAAGCCCTGTACCAAAAATGGCGCTTTTGTCCGCCGTGTAACGATAATTGATCATTTTGACGCTTAGCTACCTGACTAAAAGGGGCGGTAACCATATATACGGGCTTCTTTATTGTGTATTTTAGGCGACCTATAAAGATTTAAAATGAGATAGGATAACGCGCACTAAGATCATTGCAAGGGTATTTAGGGTGTATCCTGGCACCCTGTTTTATTTTACGGTTTCTTAATTCCCATGATAACTCATATTATTACTTCAGGCGGTGTTAGAGCAAAGAGTTCCGTTGTACGATTATGTTTGTACTTATTTTATGAATTTACACTTGAAACGTACATTTCCGTTCTAACTCTGTAAACAAATTGTCAAATTTGACCACTGGCTGCGATGAAAGTTTACATAAAATCTAAAGAACATATTGAAATATTTTGAAGATATTTTACACGCTTCTAGCTATTTTGAAGAAAGCAAATACAACTTTTGTTTTGTTTTTGTACGATGACTTTTGAACTCATTGTATGAAGTGCACGTATATAACAACTAGTCTTGTTTACCACACTCTACTGTACGCGCTCCTTGGTCATGTTCATACTTAAACAAAAACAATATTTTCAGATTTTAAATCTAAATCAATATTCATGTACAACTATATTCACGTGTGCATAGACCCAAAGACAATACAAGGCTGGCACTGCGCCTTACATAAATTCCAAGTATGTTTGCCTCACAAAACAACAAGGCAACTGAAATCACTCAACTCACGATGGCCGAACTCAGAACGCATACATGATGGCTACATCGGAGTCCAAGTTGTTCAATATCCCACCCCTCCTTTTCAGCACTCCTATTGCCATAAACCTTTTTAATTACCGATTCATTAGATACACTGTATGCATATGATACTGGGTAAATAACGAGGCAATGTATACAGTATCCTTTAAGAGGCGGTTCCCTGATTTCCCTGATTTAAAGGAAATCCCTTGATTAATCCCAGATGCACATTGTTGACACGGACGGGGGACCTTTAGAACCACATTGCTTGCAGTGTCCAAATTGCTCCAAACATGCCGAAGAACTTTCTATAATATACATTTTCGAAAATATATCATCATGACCCAAAGAGGTCTTGTTGTACTTTCGTCAGTCATATTTAAGCAATTTCGGTCTAGCTCTGTCATTCGACCCAGTATGCTCTCATTTATCCTTTACATTATCTCGGTCTTCAGTAGATAAATCATGACCCCCCCCCCCCCGAAAAAAGGGGGGGGGGGGGGTCATCGTCCTAACTTTGTTATATTCTGGACACCTGTAAGATTAGCAGTATACCAAAAAATGTAATAACTGTCTTTCGAGCTTCATTATCTTCAATGATCTTGCCAAATATCTTAAATCAAGCAGTCTAAAGTTATATGCAGACGACACAGTGATATATTCCTCCGATACCTCAGTACGCAAAATTGAGTCGACTCTGAACAGTGACCTACTTCTTTTACACCAGTGGATGAAGGAAAATAGACTTAGTGTAAATTTTGAAAAAACAATTTGTATGCTTGTTGGTAGTCGATACATGTTGTCAAAAGAAAAAAAACTTAAATGTCACCCTCTGTCAGAGCAAAATTCAACAAGTGGAAAATGTCAAGTACTTAGGTGTCATTTGTGATGAGCAAATTAAATGGAGCATTAATTCACACTGATAAGATGGTGAAAAAAATAGGACAAATGGTAAGCTTTCTTGGTAGATTAAGAAGCACCTTGAATGAATCTATATTAAAACTAGGATATAATGCAGTTGTTCTTCCCCACTTCGACTACGGAGATGTTGTATATGGTTCGGCCTGCAAATATTTAACTGAAAGACTACAAAAGCTCCAAAATCATGCTGGGCGTTTGATTTTACATATCAATCGTGACTCTCATATACCCAATTCAGAAATTAGCAATGCCCTTAACTGGGAATCGTTACACGACAGGAGAAATCAGCATTTGCTAACTTATACAGTATGTTTAAATCACTTAATGAGATGACCCCTGTTAACAATTCAGACCTTTTTAATATCTATGTGCACGAATACCACTTACGCTTTGGTGGAAGACTTTATACGCCTAAGCCTAATACTGGATTATTTAAAAGAACTTTTAAGTATAGAGGAGCTGTTGCTTATGATAATCTCCATGTAATTGTAAGAAATGCCTCAACTCTGAATAGTTTTAAGCGCGAATTAACGTTGTTCTACTCACATGCTCAATCACCCAGACCTTGACAATAAATTGACCTATTCCAGACTCGGGAGGGGGGGGGTGGACTTTCGCAGTCCTTTCACACAACTACCATTTTGTAGAGTTTAAGCATTTATAACTGTGTATTGCACAACTACCATTTTGTAGAGTTTAAGCATTTATAACTGTGTATTGTACCTACTTTATATCCTTTAATTTAGTAAATAATTATACGTCATGTTTTTTATTTATGTATATGATTCCTGGACCCCATGGAATCCCAGCAGTGTCGTGCCTGGCACAGCTGAATATGGGCTATCCAGCCGTTTCATTAACGCTATGTATACTTGTATTATATGTTTGTTTTTAAAACGGAAAATAAATACTATACTATCCTTCATAATACTTATTTTATAATAATCTATTTTTACCTTTTTCTCTGCCAGACAGTATTGTTGTGTCTCCATGTTTGGTCTCCGTTCCCGTTTACACTGAAAATTTTGTCTTATTTGTTTACTTTTTCCGTACTGTTTATTACAGATGTATGAATAGCAGATCTTAAATTCTGATACACGGAATATCACTGAATACGGTCAGCATACCTAGTCATAGAAGAAGAAGAAGAAGAATATACATTATAGAACTATTAGGCATTCTAGATTGGGATTTGCCGGGCCGGCGCTTATGCCCCTTGGCTACACGATTGCTTATTATACCTTTTATAAAAACCAATCCCCCCTCTCTCTCTCTCCCTCTCTCTCATATCCATAGTTCTGTCACCATGCTGGGCAGAACCGATCGCAATGTTCGACGTCGATGAGGTTCCTCTCGTCCGTGGCAGAGCCAAATCTCGAGAAAGACGAGCTGATGGTGATAGGGAACGAGACTGCTCTGCTTCACCGCCGGTAGGCACAAAGCACACACAGATAAATATCATTGAAAACTTTTGTTTTCCTTCAATGAATAGGCCCCTTTTTTATCTGTTCATCTGGAAGATCTGCAAGTTGAGAGAAAACAAACGCCTTCACATTATTCTAATTGGGGCTTTCTTTTATACATGCAGGGTCTGAATATCGAGGTGATCGACTTATCCATTTGAGCAAATTTTACAATTTACCATTTACCATTTACCCTATTAATACGTTTTACGAAGTGCTTCCATATCTAATATTGTTCAGTATGTATCTTTTTACACATGAAACAAATTGTGTGCCATTAGAAAATGGGCACTTTACAGTTCTGACAAATTTTGGAGCTATGCCGTCGTAGTAGTTTTATGCTACCCAAATTCGGACTTGAGCAAAACAGACTGAACTGCTCATGAATAAAATGAATCAGAGAAAGGTACTTTATAGGAGGTTGCATATTAAGCATACGGTGGCATAAGCGAAATTTAGAAAAGAATTGTTAGTTATAACAAGAAGTTACCAGCCATTGGTTATAATGTTTTTGGTAGTAGTGCTACTAGTAGTAGCATCAGTCATGATAGTAGAAGTAGAAATAATTATAGTAGTACTAAAAGTAAAAGCAACAGTAATGGTAGTAGCAAGACATTGATCTACATTTGCCACTCTCCATCCAGGTGTTAAATGGGTACCCGGTAGGATGCGAAAGCTAATGTGGTTAGATTAGCAAGTGTGCGCTTGTAAAAAAAATGACGCCTGGCTGGAATGCTCCCCAGCGAGTGGAGAAGTATGGGATAATATAGTATCAGCAGCAGCAGCAGTAGTAGTTGCCGCCAGCGTACAGTATAGTGTCAGTACTAGTAGTAGTCGTCGACTTCCTTTGTGTAGTAAAAGTATTCACAGACTATACCAGTAGCTGCGGCAGTAATAGTAGTACTAAAACTACTAAACTACTAGTAGATAATCATCATAATTGTTATCCTTTCAATTCTTTTGATATCAAATCATTTTTCGTTTTGATTATGTTCTCCCACAGAATTATCCAGACACTACAGTTGACACCACAGCACAGCTGGCTAAGATCCGAGAATACATGGCACAGTATGGCTACGACGCCTACATTGTACCTAGTGAAGACGCCCACGGCGTAAGTATGATGGGATGATCAAAAATCGTGGAGATTTAAACAAATGTTAGCAATTTAATATTCGATCCATGATTTCTCATATTCTACATAGATATATTCATTTCAATTGTTTAAAGATGGACGGCAAACTTTTTGACAACAAATTGATGCAACAAGGATGCATTGTCGAAGAATTTCGGATATATCGCGATTTCAGATCGAAATGCGCTTCAACTGACGAAAAAGTGAGAAAAGTGAAAAAGAAACCTGAATTCGCGCACGAGAGTTAATAGCTGATTTATGAAAATACTGATCCATCAAAATATAAGTTAATTGCATAATTTGGAAGCCAATTATCAATAAATTGTTGTAAATTTTTACTTAAAAATTTTGATGACATTTTCTCTCGATATGAAAATTCCTAGATCTTTCTCAATATTTTTGTTGCTGAACGGATGCAAATAATTTGCGGATCTTTTGTTAATATTTTCAAGATTCCACACCCAATGTCAAAGAAAAATGATATCTCCATCTGGGTTATTTAGGTTCCTCTTTTAATTGATGGTATCAGATTATCAAAATCTTACCGATTTTTGTGAGATATGGAAATGTGTATGAACTTTATAGGTCGAATAGTTCGACCATGAATTATGGTCACACTACCATATATCACATATGATTAAAGGCTAAGACAAATGATTGATTGATTCGAATGTATTACATTTCATATCAATCGTTTGTACAATGAGGAACATTGTTGACAAAGTAAGTTCGAAATCATTAAATTGTTTATGTAGGTTCCCAAGAATAAATGTAACGTAACAATGAAAATGATTCAATCAGTTTTGTGGGCTTGGATATTTAACTTTAAGTATAAACGTTGTTACAATGATTGTATGAATATTTGATGTACAAATTATGCCAGTAAGCTTGAAATTATCAAATCGGGATAGATACTAGGTTTATCTTTTTGTTTCGGTTAACTGTTCAAACAAATCTTGTATATATAAACAATCCATATACAACAAAGGAGAAATAGAGATAAAGGCCCACAGGGACCTTTCGCATATAAAAGATTTGCAACTCATTTATGGTTGTAAAGGACGTTGTTTGGTATTCTGGAGTTGGTTAACATCTTATTCGTTTGTATTTAAGATCAGCTCATCTCGAAAGATTACATTCTATTCCATTCAAAAGTCGCTTGTCAGAATGGCTGGTTCCCAGCAAGATTTTGTTCAATTTGATTTGAAACCCAAACAACAACAGTTATTCTTTTGTTTTTCTTCAATTGGATTTCATGACCAGAGATTTAAATCTTAGATTTGTCGGACAATGAAACTAACAAATATTATATACCTTAATTTAGAAATCCAGCCATCTGATTGGTCGAAATTGGAGTCATGATTTTAGCCATTCCCGTAAGTTAACGTAAAATACCCAAACCGGTTAATAGTCCAAGAGTGAGATCTCTCAAAATTCCGGTTACCTGAAAATAGAAAAGATGCTGCGATACCCATTGGTTTACGTGTTAAAATGTTCTTTGTGGAATGCGCCTTGGTTAAAGTGTGAAAATGTTCGGGGATGTTGCATCCTGGTATCACCCCTCGGCACGCCTCGGGTGATTATCAGGATGCAACATCCCCTTGAGACTATAAAACAACTATTCCCCTCATAGCAGTCATTATCTCTATATTATCATTTTTCTCACTCCAGAGTGAGTACATCGCTGCACCTGACGCAAGACGTCCCTATATCAGTGGCTTCTCAGGATCGGCAGGTATAGACATCATTTTCTAATTCCTCTCTCTTCCCTTTCTGCTTAAACTTGTTAAACATAAATATTTTGTTGTTGTCAAATCCGTTTACCAGCATATAGTCTTCAACATTCAGAGTAAATTTGTGGAAATATTCGATACATGTTTTCCCGCCAATACCAGAATATCAGTACCAACAACCATGCACTTCTCTTGTTCTAGGTCTGGCTGTGATTACCAGCACATTGTCTGCTGTGTGGACTGACGGACGCTATTTCATCCAGGCTGAACGCGAGATGATCTGTGAATGGATGCTCATGAAGAGCGGTAAGGCAAATTGAAAGCCCTTTAATTATCCCTTTCTCTTTTCCTTTTGTCACCCCCTTTTCGTCTGTTCTTCTCGTCCCATCTTATAAGATTCGAACCAATGTTTTAAATTTCGCATTTTCGATCTTCATTAGCTCTATTACAACCCTTTCCACATTTTCTATAGATTAATTTTGCACTGGAAACAATTAAATAATCTTGAAGCCTTTTCAATAAGGATTTAGTGATGAATACAACGTGGCACAGTGGCATATAATGTAGACTTCCGGTCATGAAATTTAATGTGAGAAAACAAATTGTGAGGAAGGTAAATTATCTGTATATACGGAAACATATGTCCTTGCTGAGCTTTTTCAAATCATCAAGATTTTGAGAAATCGACCAAATATAGTTGGAAAACACATCTATAGCCAACGGCGCTGCACACAGAAATGGGTATGTGTAATGATGTTATTTTGTAAAGATTCAGGGCATTTGAAGAACAATACCTTTGAAAATGAGACAGTTTTACACAAAACATTTTTTCTTTCGTTTAACCAGAACTCATCCTTTTCCCTGTTTACTTGTTTTATTAACTTACTGTGCTCTTGAATTATATTTATGTTACTCTTACTCTCACTCTCGCACACTACTCTGCCTCCACCCTCCCCTCTCTCTCTCTCTCTCTCTATCTCACTCTCTCACACCTTCCCCACTCTCTCGCCCTCTCTCCTCTCTCATCATCACACCCTCCGCCCCAACCCTGCTTCTCCCTCTCTCTCCTTCTCTCTCTCTCTTTCTCTCTCTCTCTCTCTCTCTGTCTCTCTCTTCCATTGCATAACTCTCCTTCTCCCACTCTCCCCTGCCCTTCTTCGATATCAGGCGAGGTAGGAGTTCCCAGCTCAGCTGAATGGCTGATTAGTGACAGCATCGATGCTACCATGGGGGCCGACGACTACCTGAAGGAGCTATGATTGGCTACGACCCGAGACTCATGTCCATAAGTAAGTAACTGAAATGGTCCACCGTCTAGTTTTCGGACATAACTCGCCTGTTTTTCCCTTCCAAATATCCAACAGCTCATGGAATTCGCGGAAAGCGAACCTTATAAATTATAAAATATTAACCAATAAAATACAACTACCCCCCCCCCTCCCACACACACACACACACACACACATACACACACACACACACCTCCTCGAATCAGGTCAGCGTGTGTGAGGGAAATAACGAACCTGTACAAAAATTCAGAATAGCGAGTAAAATTAATTGTTAAAATGTAAATCTTTTAATTGTTAAACTTTTATCAGAATCTTTCAAAATCCTTTCATTGTTGTATCCTCCCCAATGTGTTTTACCAAAGACTCGGAACAGTCATGACAAAAATAGCCCATGTACTGTTTAATTTTTGTTTAGGTATACACCTAGGCACTCTTTAGTCTTACCAAAAAAAATGGAAAAAAAACAATAATTATCCTCGAAGATTCTAATCAATCACAAGGTTCGTAGACTCTCAATTTAAACACAGGAAATTGTTCTGTTGTTACATGAATTAACGCTCAAGTAGCTTATCCTGTAAAACAATTTGGAGTTGACAACCCAGAAAAAGTTTTTACTATACAACTATGGGGAAATGCGATTACTCTTGACACGATAATCTGTCACAAAGTGCACTCTGTACTAAAAATCTTTGCTTTTGCTTTGCGTGTTATGTAGTTTTGAGAGAAATTGACGAAGGTTTTGCTTGTTTAAACATTATGGGCTTAAAGGTAGTAAGCATTCTCATTACTATCACAAAATATAA